CCTAATCCGCATGATGAATTCGGATAACAACCGTTTCTATTACATTTTCATGATTAACTTGGATAACTCCATATTCAACAAATTTAAAAATTTCCAGAAAATACTTCTAAGGAAAATTGAAAAGACAAACTTTAAATTGATTAATGCCAACAATTCGGTAGATTTCATACAAAACTGTTTATATATATACATATAAATGTATACATATATACATATATTTCAAAAATTCAACACTACTTTCAACATTGTTCAACTTTTTCATATTTCTTTTTAATTTATTAATTTCCGAGAAATTAAACATTTTATTGTTTTTTTTAAAGAATATGGTACCATATTCTTAAAAAAATATTTATATATTTATATATAACATGTATATATATATATATATATAAATATATATATGGTATCATATATATATTTAGCAGTAGCTCGGAATTTCAAATTTAAACAACAATTTCTTGATTCATTGTAGATCTACAATGGCAGCACCTATGGACGATAGTACAGCTGATGCCCCAGCTATTCCTGTTGGCTTGAAGAAAATCCTGATAAAGGATCGTGAGTTTATAAATGTTGCCAACTCATGGGTCGACAAGTGGACCAGTATAAATGATCACAAAACGCAGAACGCGTACTGGTTTATCAAGAGTTCAGCAGCAGGCGCTTTTATCGCGAATCAGGGGACTTGTTTCGAGACAGGCCAATGCTTCTTGGAATGTATATGCCAGGCTGTTCTCCAACTTAGGTGGGATGGTACTGAAATCATCTGTAATACGGAAAAATTATCCCAATCCACCTACAAACAAATCGACAAGGCACCTAAAAAGTCCGAATTACAAGAAAGGGCAGAATTCAACTTTTGGAAAGGAGTCAAAAGTTACTACGGTGCAGAGGTAGTCGTTGGACAACCAGGTACAGCATATGAGATATATCCATCACACGAAGTGATCTTTGTAGAAGAAAAAGTACTGAAACATAAATATGTTCCTCTCATTCCATTAGCCAAATTAATCATTCGCATGATTATTGCTCACGATCTTTATGACATCCCTGAATCAAAGGGAAAGTATCCAAAGAAAATCGAATCTTTGGAGAAAAAGTTCAGGGCACTAAAAGCTGCTGTAGGTAGCCTGTATACCGAGGCAGTCAGTTGGAGGGACATCTTATATACAAAAAAGGTAAAATTTGTTAACCAGAAAGTATCAAGTGCCCTTTGGAATAGGATTGGTGCAAAAGGGTCTAACTGTCCGTTCTCTGTCAGAACGAAATTCGGAAAGCAAACGAACATAGCTGCGCTCTTCAAAAAAATCACAAAATTATATGGAAAATTGGCATCCTCAAAATGAACCAAATCTAGAGAAATTAGACATTTTATTGTTTTTTTTTTTTTAAGAAAACATATTCATATATATATTTTGCAGTAGCTCGGAATTTCAAATTTAAACAACAATTTCTTGATTCATTGTAGATCTACAATGGCAGCACCTATGGACGATAGTACAGCTGATGCCCCAGCTATTCCTGTTGGCTTGAAGAAAATCCTGATAAAGGATCGTGAGTTTATAAATGTTGCCAATTCATGGGTCGACAAGTGGACCAGTATAAATGATCACAGAACGCAAAACGCGTACTGGTTTATCAAGAGTTTAGCAGCAGAAAGTATCAAGTGCCCTTTGGAATAGGATTGGTGCAAAAGGGTCTAACTGTCCGTTCTCTGTCAGAACGAAATTCGGAAAGCAAACGAACATAGCTGCGCTCTTCAAAAAAACCACAAAATTATATGGAAAATTGGCATCCTCAAAAGGAACCAAATCTAGAGAAATCAGACATTTTATTGTTTTTTTTTTTTTTTTAAGAAAACGTATTCTTAAAAATATATATATTTATTTATATATAACATATATATATATAAATATATATATATGGTATCATATATATATTTTGCAGTAGCTCGGAATTTCAAATTTAAATAACAATTTCTTGATACATTGTAGATCTACAATGGCAGCCCCTATGGACGATAGTACAGCTGATGCCCCAGCTATTCCTGTTGGCTTGAAGAAAATCCTGATAAAAGATCGTGAGTTTATAAATGTTGCCAACTCATGGGTCGACAAGTGGACCAGTATAAATGATTACAAAACGCAGAACGCGTACTTGTTTATCAAGAGTTTAGCAGCAGGCGCTTTTATCGCGAATCAGGGGACTTCTTTCGAGACAGGCCAATGCTTCTTGGAATGTATATGCCAGGCTGTTCTCCAACTTAGGTGGGATGGTACTGAAATCATATGTAATGCGGAAAAATTAGCCAAATCCACTTACAAACAAATCGACAAGGCACCTAAAAAGTCAGAATTACAAGAAAGGGCAGAATTCAACTTTTGGAAAGGAGTCAAAAGTTAATACGGTGCAGAGGTAGTCGTTGGACAACCAGGTACAGCATATGAGAAATATCCATCACACGAAGTGATCTTTGTAGAAGAAAAAGTACTGAAACATAAATATGTTCCTCTCATTCCATTAGCCAAATTAATCATTCGCATGATTATTGCTCACGATCTTTATGACATCCCTGAATCAAAGGGAAAGTATCCAAAGAAAATCGAATCTTTGGAGAAAAAGTTCAGGGCACTAAAAGCTGCTGTAGGTAGCCTGTATACCGAGGCAGTCAGTTGGAGGGACATCTTATATACAAAAAAGGTAAAATTTGTTAACCAGAAAGTATCAAGTGCCCTTTGGAATAGGATTGGTGCAAAAGGGTCTAACTGTCCGTTCTCTGTCAGAACGAAATTCGGAAAGCAAACGAACATAGCTGCGCTCTTCAAAAAAATCACAAAATTATATGGAAAATTGGCATCCTCAAAATGAACCAAATCTAGAGAAATTAGACATTTTATTGTTTTTTTTTTTTTAAGAAAACATATTCATATATATATTTTGCAGTAGCTCGGAATTTCAAATTTAAACAACAATTTCTTGATTCATTGTAGATCTACAATGGCAGCACCTATGGACGATAGTACAGCTGATGCCCCAGCTATTCCTGTTGGCTTGAAGAAAATCCTGATAAAGGATCGTGAGTTTCTAAATGTTGCCAATTCATGGGTCGACAAGTGGACCAGTATAAATGATCACAGAACGCATAACGCGTATTGGTTTATCAAGAGTTTAGCAGCAGGCGCTTTTATCGCGAATCAGGGGACTTGTTTCGAGACAGGCCAATGCTTCTTGGAATGTATATGCCAGGCTGTTCTCCAACTTAGATGGGATGGTACTGACATCATCTGTAATGCGGAAAAATTATCCCAACCCACCTACAAACAAATCGACAAGGCACCTAAAAAGTCCGAATTACAAGAAAGGGCAGAATTCAACTTTTGGAAAGGAGTCAAAAGTTACTACGGTGCAAAGGTAGTCGTTGTTCCTCTCATTCCATTAGCCAAATTAATCATTCGCATGATTATTGCTCACGATCTTTATGACATCCCTGAATCAAAGGGAAAGTATCCAAAGAAAATCGAATCTTTGGAGAAAAAGTTCAGGGCACTAAAAGCTGCTGTAGGTAGCCTGTATACCGAGGCAGTCAGTTGGAGGGACATCTTATATACGAAAAAGGTAAAATTCGTTAACCAGAAAGTATCAAGTGCCCTTT